TTATAAAAGGTTAGATGCAACACATGAACATCTTAATAAGGAAAAAATGTGTATATTTTGTTACCACAGCCAGAGGACAAAAGGAACAACCGCCAAAGTTCATATAAAATCACTTCCAAAATATTTTCGATACTCACCTCTTTCAATTCCCTAGCACCACTTTGACAGAGGTATCCCCAGCAAGCATTTCTAACTCGCTCTCCATGTACACCATAATCTTGGTTCTCAGCAAATACCTAAATGAGAATGGGCATGAATACATAATGAATGGATTGTGTCCAATGAATAGTGAATGCTATGATTTTTAAAATTTTAGACCTGATACGCTAAGAAGTTTGAAGTCCATAATTCAGATATTATGAAATCCGTACAAATTGCGCATAAATCCTGCACAAGAAAGATATCAAAGATGTAATTTAATGGATTGGGATCAAATTGATAGTCAAGCAAAATTCAGGGCACAAGGTTCCATAATTGCTTGAACACAGAAACTTTGAAAAGTGAAGAGATCTAGTTCATATAGTCTGAGATTTTTTGGGTCAATATTTGGGTTGGAGGTAATCTTTCATTTGATGTGACAAAAATCATTCTTGACTGCTGAACATTACCGTTAAATTATCATATAAAATTTCCTCGAAATTAACTCTTGGCAACATGCAAAACGTCATAACTTTAGTTGTTGACAACATAACTCATTCTCCAAACATCCTTCGGAACCAGGAGATTTTTAGCATTGGAATAAAATCCCAAGCCAACTGACTCAAGAATAATTGATGAAAACTCATTCCTGAGCCAATGGGCATTAATAAATCAAAATGGCGCAACTAAAGAACCCCACTATCAAACAAAAAGGGTTTATGTAAGTAAAATCCTTCGTGATGAAGCATCTTACATTCATCAAAGTTCAGAAACAGGAAAAAATGAATATGAGCTAGAATTGAGAGCGGAGGAGAAGAACCTGTCCATTTCACTGGAGTGGTAAGTGCAAAAATTTCTGTTACATAAACTGAATCTCTAACCAGCAATAATGATTTTAATAGGAGGTGGGTAGTTATGGTTAGCACTAAATACCTGGAGATCAAGAAAAGATGCAACAGCCAGAACACGAAATGCATTATTCTCGTTAAGCTTAGGATGGTGTCCATAGAGATATGCCAAGGCTATTGACATTGCTTCCCCATCCACATTAGTATCATCCACGTGCAAGGTCAGAACAGGAGCGTTGGCTTCTTTCCAAGGGCCCTGAAGCATGTTTCTGCAGATTATCATAGACAAATGTTAAAATCTAATGCTTAAGTTAAAAAGAAAAATAGACATAACACATGGCACTATCACGTGACTACAACTATCTATATCAAGTGTCTCTTTTTAAATAGCACATGTTGTTCATGAATCTCTTCACTCTTTTTCTTTCTAATTTTCTGAATTTTACATAACAAAGAAAAATTACAAAACTGCCATTATTTAATTATCTGCAGTAACCCATTAACTGATAATGCAATTATGCAACTAGCTTTAATTTTCTACAATGCATTGGAGCAGGTGATCAATAAAACAAGACTGTGAACTCAATTCAAATTCATTCCATTAAACAAGACAACAACAAAAATGTTACCTGTCTTTTCAAGTGTCAATTCTATGGTATTTATACAACTAGTAAATTAGCAAAACCTAACAAGCAACGTTCTTCAGAACCCAAAAACTACATTCAACAGGTCACAGAGAAGAATCTCCATTTCTCATAAACTGACCACTAAATAATTTAAGAGAAAAACCTCACTTTCTCATTAACTAATCACCAAACAATTAATGTCTCTTAATCATTCTCCATTGCATTAAAAAACACAACACAAACTATAATAAAAGAATATAAAACAAAAAAACAATATCTGACAATCTCTCAGGGCCACAGATATATTAGCATAAGTTTCAAACCAAGTCCAGTTAAGCAAATGGCATGTACCCATAGAACCTCACAGTAGTACATTACAGTGTAACTATTAGCTTGTTCAAACAAGTATTTTAAGAACGACAATCCTAGGGAAAGAAAAAAATAAAAGAGTAATGCATGTAGCACCACCACCAATCTATGTGGCAACTTAGGGGCATTGCATGAGAAGTCCATTAAAATTAGTCATATGCCCTTCTATTTCATTGGAAATGTCATTTAATGACATTGTATTGCCACAGACACTGGTGTTGTAAACTAGTGGTGCTCCATAACATTATTCAAAAAAAAAAACCATTCTCAAAACCCCTTAATCTAATACTTACAATTTACAAAAGAACCTTAAAAATAAGGAAAATACGTGTTGTACATCACTATTTAAAGATTATTTCACATATTGGTTAGTTGGCAAAAAGAATGTGGGGGAATTTTATTTTTTTAGTTGGTTCGTGAAATTTTGATTCAATCATATCCCTCCACGCCATCTATTGATAAACAAATATGTAAGTTGCGATGAACGTTTAGTACAACCGTAAAAATAATTTAATGAAGAAATGATCAACTGCATTTACATAAAATTGAAAATCAGCAGTATCGGAGTGCAAATAAGGTACCAAATTCGTCATGTGAGAGTAATTCACTATGATCCACTAACCGAAATAAAAATCCATGATGTAACTAAAAAACCATAACCAAATCCTCCAATTGTAAAAACTTCGTGGAAACACATTAGCACAAACAAAATTAACTAAAAAATCAGAAATAAACAAAAACGGGAAGATTCCACTTTTATAACAAAATTTATATCGTTACCGTAATTTTAAAATATAGCATAGTTTGCAGTGAGTAATTTCTTTTTAATTTGACAATTTTTAAGAAAAAAATTCATAAGAAATTCCCGATGAAATCTACTTTTCCAAGAAAACTATATCTCCCGAGAGCTTGACAGAAGAGAACAAACCGGAAGTAAGAGCTCCGGGATAGGATGAGGCGATGGAGGTGGTAGACTGAGCCCATGGCGTGTACGATGACATCGGAGAATGCACCATTATTGAATCCCTCCAATTGGATGTGGTCACACAGTGAAGTTAGGTTACAATCCAGTTGCGCCCTCAGCTCCGACCCGCACATGTCTTCGTTGCTGTTATTGTTGTCAGAATGCGACGGTTCTTTCGTCAATTCAACCGGATCGCTGCCCTCCCCTCCGCTGTACCGGCGGGGGTTGTGATGTTGACTGACCCTGTAGTGTTGCGGTTGCGCCACCGGCGTAGGTGGGGCTTCCATCGTATATACATACAGTGTGAATGTGTTTACAGGTGAAGTGATTATGGGGAACTTTGAAGGATATTTAATGGAGATTCTGGAAATAGGGATGCAGAAACTGGAAAGAAAGGAACATTTGCGACGAAGCCCTTGAATTATGGGTTTTCAGACATTCAACCACTAATCTTTTTTTTTTGAATAAATCACGTTTTAATAATATGAAAAATAAATAAATAAATAAAAACTTATCTTATCCAAATATGTGGACTACACGTAGCTTTTGGACATAATAAAATGTAGGTCGTGAAGTATTTAACATACTCATCATCAATATTCAAAGAAGATTGTGCAAATTTATTATGTCATCAAATTTCGGCTAGAAAAGTATCACTCCTACCTTGAACTCGTGTTGCATTTGGGAGAATTTATAAGCTACAATTGTCAAGCATGATGCTTTGGTACTTGACTAGCTCGACGTAGATAGTGTCAATTATAATTTCTCAAATTCAAGTATGTTATGTCTCATTTTTTTTGAATTTTGCAAGAATGGCTCATTTGGTATCATTTCTCTAAAATCATTTTTCTCTACAATTATTTTTTAATCACACATTTTATGAGATTTATAACTTTTCTTCACTTTTCAATTGTACATTTGAAAAAAATCATTTTTCAAATAAGCTTTTAATATAATTTCTTAAACTAGTTCTTTCTCTACAATCTTTAGCCACTTTAGACTTCTATTTCTAAAATGGTCCATCAAGAGAATCTCAATCTCAATTTGACTTAATTTTCAAAAAATCCCAAATGTGAATTTTTAGAAATAGCCACATTCCTTTTTAAATTGCCCATTTGGAATTATTTGCAATTTCAATCTAGTAATAAAAATTTCCTATGGAGCTAAATATTAAATTCAACAAAGTTGAAATTGCTAAGGAGGAAAGAGGTATGAGTTGAGGGAGATGGTTTGTTACAATGCCCAATTGTCTTATTCAACTAGTCGAAGATAAATATTTTTATTGAAAAAGTCGCATTCGACAATTTAAACTATACAATTAGTCACCCAATCTATGATTGCCATTTAACTTAATTCACAACCTATTTTTCTTGACAACACCATCTTCATGCTTTTATGTGACATAGTTTTCAGTAGATGTGCTTTATCTATTTAGTTGTTAAATGTCATTTTTCTAATTAACAAACCAACTTAAATTTAAATATCTAATATTGAAAAGAAAAATAAAGAAAATCCCGCCAAAGAGTTATATATTTTGTAGCACAATTAGTATTATAACACCAGTTTAGATAATCACAATGATAAATCATATTAAAATTTGTCTCACTTCCCTCTTTTAAGGTTTTATATCTAGACCCGTAACTTTGTAGAAAACATCGTTGTTTAGATGATCACAATGATGAGTCGAGCTCCCCCGACTAGACTCGCTTGAAGTACGATGTTAATTGTTAAATGGGATAAAGTTCATCCATGAAGACCACAAATGTTACAATCAAACGACTAGGAACTATACTGTCAAGAAAATAGATTGAGAACTGAATTAAAATAAATTGTATAGAACAAGGTCGAATAGTGCAATTGTTCCCAAACTAAAAATCTCTCCGTTGTATAGCCAGAGTCGGGTGAAATTATAGCAACTACAGTTTCATCAAAAGACGCTTTTCAAGTATCCCGTAACTCTTCGTACCCATCGGCCATTCCCCTTGCCACTCGCCGCAGCGCCGTCGGTCGTCAACTCTCTCGGCAGCCGTTTTACTCCAAAGAACTCTGGCTCTTACATAATTCCCAATCTCCACGTGATGGTCCCAGCAGAATAACTAGCGATTTCTTTTTCCATTGAAGTTTTGTATGTGCCTTCAATTATATTAGTATATTTATGTTTTCTATACTGTATGTATGTAGACTAGTTACTCAATTTCTTTCTGCTTGTACATTTGGAAGGTTCAATTTTAGATGACTGACCGCTCAATGTTTTCATTAACAGAGGTAACGAGCAACAGCTCCTCCTGATTAACCGAGGTCAATTGTTTTAGAAATGTTTTCTATTTTGTTTTTACTGTTAATTAACTTCATTTTATGAGAGCAGATCGTGAAGATATTGAATTTGTTGCCTTCTGTTTAATATCTGCTTTCTTGGGGGTGGGAAATATGAAATTCTTGTATTTTATCAGGTGTTACTTGCTTCCATTTTGTTCTTTTCAGTATATTTTTTGTTTCTCTACAGGGGTAAATATATCACTCCCAGCTAAAATCCATTCACCTACATAAGTTTTGTAAAAGATTCACGTTTTCAAGTAATGGACTCTCCGTTGCGGTAAAGGGGTCTGTTTTCTTTTGTTAATACCGGAAATAAAATTCTGTCTGATGAGGGAGAAGGGGCCTTTTCTTATGCTAATGCTGAGTGTCAAAAGTTCAAGAAGATGTGAAGGTGTTAGACAGGGGGTTGATAATGTGACTCAAATTCTAGAGAGTGGTCCTTGGGGACCTTCCATAGAGAAATCTTTATCTTTGTGTGATGATAAACCTTCCACGGATAATGTCATTGGAGTCTTGAGGATGTTGATTTAGCTATAAACTATTTTAGATGCGTTAAGAGGATAACTTATCAAGTGCACCATCTGGAAGCATACAATTCGCTTCTCATGGTAATTGCCAGGAATAAGAGACTTTCGAACATGTTTTGGCTGAAACGAACCTTGCTGGATCTGGTCTGTCTTTTGAAACTTGTGTGGAGCTAGTGTTCAGCTTTGTTAAAAGTCAAAGATTGAAAGAAGCCTTTGATCTTATCCAAACCATGAGAAAGTTCAAATTCTCCCCCGGCATTTTCTGCTTACACAACTCTTATAGGCGCACTCTCTGCAGTATAAGCCCGATATACCAGATCTCATGCTAACCCTCTTTAATCAGATGCAGGAATTAGGCTATGAAGTTTATGGACATTTGTTCACAACTTTGGTTCTTGTATTTGCCTGAGAGGGCCGGGTTGATGCTGCTCTCTCCCTGTTATATATGATGAAGAGCAATTCCTGTGATGCCGACAATGTTCTCTACAATGTGTGTATGGATTTCTTTGGCAAGGTGGACATGGCTTGGAAGTTCTTTCACAAGATGCAATCCCACAGCCTCACACCTGGTGACACGACATATACTAGCATGATCAGAGGACTCTGCAAAGGTGATGGACTGGACGAAGCTGTTGAGTTGTTTGGGCATATGGACCGGGATAGGACTGTTCCCTGTGCATATGCTTATAACACAATGATCATGGCTTATGGATCTTCTGTAAAGTTTGATGAAGCCTATAATTTGCTAGATAGGCAAAGATCAAAGGGGCCCATAATGAGTGTCATAGCATACAGTAGTATTCTTACTTGCGTTGGGAAGAAAGGGAAGGTAGACGAGGCGTTTGAGGAGATGAAAGACAATGCTATGCCTAACCTTTCTAACTATAATATTCTCATAGACATGCTCTTCAAGGTGGGAAAACTTGATGCTGCTTTTAAAATCCAGAATGCCATGAAGGTAGCTAGCTTAGTTCCGAATGTAACGACTGTCAACATCACGATTGACCGGTTGTGTAAGGCTAACAAACCTGACGAAGCATGTTCTATTTTTGAAGGCATGGATCATAAAATCTGTACTCCAAATAAGTTTACATTTTGTTCTTTGATAGATGGCTTGAATAGGCACGGCAGAGTAGATAATGCTTACAGATTTTATGAACTGATGTCAGATTTTAATCTAATACCAGATGCAATTGTCTATAAAGAACTTTTTCAATACAGGCAGAAAGGATGATGTACACAAGTATAGTATAGATTAGGATTTTTAAATTTGTGGTGTAGGCGTGAGTGAATAAAGAGAATCGAGATCGATTGAATCACGCGGGCCTATTTGGTTTTCAGATCAGTTCTCCATCTTTGTCCTTCTTTTTGTCATCATTATTGCATTCCAATGTTCATCCTAAACTCTCTAATGGTGGTCGAGACTGACTCATAGAGCTGGAGTATTCATCTGATTCTGACAAAGAAGAAGATGATGATTATGATCAATTCCCTCCGTTTCAAGCCGTTGAAGAAATCTCAGATTGCAATGTTAAGCCGGGAACAGAGCAAGCCGTTGAAGAAATCTCAGATTGCAATGTTAAGCCGGGAACAGAGCATACTTAACTGAATATGATTACCATGTGAAACTACTTCAGAAGAAACAGCAGAGAGAAGAAATGAAACGGTTGAGGGACATGAAGAAGATACGAATAGACGGTTAACTTGATCATGGTTTCATGGAGGAAGATGTTAACGAGTAAGCAGGAACTTCGGCAGATGTAGCAGTTCCCTTACCGGATTCGGTACTCCCACCCTCTCTTGATGGAGACAACCCGTCTTTTAGATACCAGTTCCTAGTATCCTCGTTCCATCTTCTGGCAAGGCCAGTTTTCAACTCCCAAGGGTGGGACCATGATTGTGGGCGCGATGGTGTGATCATTGAAGATAATATTGCCATCGACAGTCGATTTCTATCAGTAATTTCCATGCAGCAAACAAAGGATAAGAAAGAGTTCAATATGCACTTAAATTAATCGGTTTCAGCAAAGCATGGAGATAAGGGTTGAAATTCAAACTCTTGGTAAGCAATTTGCCCAGACCTTGAAGGGTGATTGGAAAATCCACCCGTGTTAGACGAATAAAACTCCAGCTGGAGTATCTATTACATTTCTTCGTGAAAATGTCATCCCGGGACTCATAAGTTGAGGACCAGATTGTAGTCGGGAAATGGTTACTTTTTGCGGGAAAAGCTGGTGCCGTTCAATCTCGAGGTGGTGCTGCCTATGGAGCCAACTTGGAGGTGCGTTTAAGGGAAGAGGAATATCCTGTTGGTAAGGATCAAAGCTCATTAGGTATTTCAGTAATGAGATGGAGAGGTGATCTCATCAGGGGGTGCAATCTGCAATCTCAGTTCTCTATTGGTCAGGATTCAAATTTGAATGTTCGGGCGGGCTGAACAGCTTGGATAGATCTCTGTTAGGGCAAGCAGTTTAGAACAACTTAAAATTACTGTCCTGTCTCCTTCCAATTGTCAAATCCATGCTCGGGGACGTCTTCTCACAGTCCACTGAAACGTAAAAACCTATCATTTTTCCTGGAAGAACATAAACGAAGCCAAAATCTGTTTGCCTCTTTTCTTTCAAAACGATAATTTGTGGCAGTCAATTATCTGTCTGAAGCTTTTTTACGAGTCGTACTGCTTGAGATTTTATATTAATGTTTCTCTATGTGGGATTATAAGTTTAAGCGGACCTCAGGCCCTCAACCTAGGATTGAACTCGGCTCGACTAGAAAATTATAACGTGAACTTGTGAGCTTCAAAAGAACACGAGCACCCGACGAACCTAATCAGTTGACAAGCAGATTCTCATTCGAGTTCTTGAATTCTTAAGAATGATTTCTAGGCTATAACCAGACCGATTATCAAGCTAGATCCTGATTATGGTCAAATCAGCCGAACCAGGCGAGGATGCTATTAATACTAGTTAAAAATTAATGCATGCAACAAAAACCCTCTTTAGTTTGCCTCTCGTTATAAATTGCTGATAAATTTAAATATCATTATAACCATACATTTCGTAGAATCCAGAACTTCTACTCATTCATTCACCGCTTATTTCTATCACATTATATTTTTAGCGACTTATAATGAAACCAACACAAGTTCTAATGAACCATTGTGAGCTGGGAAGTATTGGTTAAACCAAGATGCTCAAATTTTGATTTGGATTCAGATCATTATTCATCAACACCCATAGTTTTGCAGTTTCCAAACGATAAAAATAAGCCAATTTACAACACAAGTTGAAAGGCTAAAAGCCTGAGCATTTAATTATGCCGCGTGCCTAAGCAATGGATTATAATAAAGTTACAAATATGAGTGCGCGCTAGAATCATTCATCAGAACGAGTGTAGCTCGGCACCAGAGTCCTGTAGTGCTTGTTGCATCAAATCCGACACCTCTTCGTCCTGAGGCTGTAATTGCATATCCTGTAATACGCAATATAATTGTGGGTGGATTTGTAGTTGAACCTCAAGTAAAAAGAATAACAGCAAATGATGTTGAAAACCTCATAAATTGTAAAGATGCACATCGAGTTGGAAAAATAACAAAATACAATCCGCCTACACCACGAAATGAGGGTAGGCTTAGGCATATCCATGACTACAATTCCTGAAAACACTGATTACTTGTGTGGTTAGTCGGATTGCACAATACTATATAGCATTAATTAGCTATGAGTGATGTTTGTGGACTGAATAATGCACCACTTCGCACATCAGACTACAATTTATTATAATTTGAGGCCACATACTCAAAAAACAAAGAGCTATTGAAGTTAGACGGAGCTAGAACGAAGCAATAACGACAATCAAGTCTAAACATGTTTTTCGAAGAAAAAAGTGGAAAATCCGCCTTTATATTTATCACAGAGAGATTGAGATGACAATAGGTGTAGTACACAATTTAAATTAGTTTTCAACCTAACCATTCAGTGTGTGTTTGTTACGCAGTATTGGGCAACAATGAGACAATACATTAAACAGGATTCAAACTTCTTTCTCTTTCTCAATACTATTCAGTGCCTCCTTACCAAACGTGCATTCTACACAATGGTAGAAATGGTTACTGAAAATGAATGTCAAATAATCACCATTAAAGATTGTCATCAAGTGGTATACCAGTTGAGCTCGAAATCCTAAGAAATAGCATCGAAGTCGTGTTTTGGCAGGAGGTATAGAGGCAAACTTTATTGAACACTTTGGTATCCACATTTAGTCAGAAGTAAAAGGTCCACATGATTAATACCTGTGTTTGTAATAGCTGATTTGGTTGTTGATCTTGTGTCAATGGATAGGCCTGTGGTTGAGACATCCGATAATAGGGCTCTTTGAGATCAAGTTTGCCGGATGACGTCTGGAGTATTCCTCCCAGCTCAGCACCGGGGCCCCACATTTTAGCTATTCAGATAAATGACTAGTTGTTTAATAAAGGACACCAAGCAAGGAAGCAAAAGGAAAGGAACTAAAGAAAAAAACCAGGATTTGTTGCATGAATAGTACAAGAACGAGAAAGAACCAACCTGACAATGTAAGGTGAAGGGTGTAACTCTGAGCTTTATGGGAAACCATATGGAGTCGACCAACTATCTCTTGTCCAGGCATTACATAAATTGGTTGGGCTAGAACACAACGCAGCTGATACCAGTGTGTAGTAGGTGCACCAGGAGCAGTGGTAAGCCACCTTTGCACAGTGCTATTGGATGAAGGTATTTGACATAATTAAGGCAAGTGGTAATCATGAAATTTCATGGAGGGAAACAGGAAGATGTTTAAACACATACAGCATCAAACAATTACCTCCCATTGAACAATACGTCGAACCAACAAGCCAACCCATGGACTCTAGTGCCCACTGAAGATACAAATTTCAATGGGATGTCAATTTCATACAAATCTTCTTCCTGAAAAAAGGAAAATTTGATGAAAATATTATAAATTACGTTAGTCTTAACAGGTTGAGAAGCTTACTGCAGTGGGTTACACGTGCAAGTGACACAATATAGAAGACAAAATGGTAAAAAATCAACTGTAATTGTTTTATTGAATGTATCACTTTTTCAAGGAAATTAAAATCTCAAAGACGTTTAATTTCATACAAAATTGCAGATTAAATTCTCATAAAATTTCCAGAAATGGAATTAGAAGATAAGTTCAGCACTCGAGTTTCCAAATGTCTATACCCTCTGGTTGGCATGCCCCCTTACACTATCCACAAACATGCACCCCCCAATTATTGCATTTGCTTCCAACCACAAGATTCCAAAAGGTTCAATTGCTAGGAACTAGGAACCACTCCACCACATATAACGCAAACTTTGGAAACTTAAACGAATCAATTCCCACTTGACCCATCTTTTGACTGCGCTAGTCTCTATCTCATCATCAGACTTTCGGAAGAATGGTGCCACTAAAAATACCAGCATATGACTCGTTGGGTGCTTCCAATACCTTTTTTCTCTTCCGTTTGGGGAAGAGAGGGGAAATGGAGGGAAGTTTCCACATAAATTATAGATAATGATAGAAAGAAACCTTTGAATAAAATTCAGTGATCCTTGAAACTGTAGTCTTATGTGTCATTCAATCCACAACTACGGACAATTTGAAAGGAATCAAAAAATCCTCATGAATAATATAGTTCAAAATTTATGAGGAAGCAAGAATATCTTTTAGTCAAGACAAGATACTCTCACACAATTTATGTGGAAGCGAGAATAGCTTTTAGTTAAGATAAGAACAGGAGATCAGCAAAGGGGTTGATTTTAGTTTGTTCTCGACTCAAGGGGAAGGCAAGGCCTGAACAGAGGCACTACTAGGAATAGGGATGGGGAATGACTCAACTTGTTCTGGATCTAATAAGCTGGTCTCCTTTCTTGCCTGAACAGAGGCACTACTAGGAATAGCCGAATAGGGATGGGGAATGACTCAACTTGCTCTGGATCTAATAAGCTGGTCTCCTTCGAAAGCAGACTCGTCAAATTTGGAATTTCAAATTTGAGGGAATTTCTTTGTAGGTTTTTGTAGCTGTGTCCGAGTACATGGTAACTTAAATTTGTTGCACAAGTGTATAGGTTTTCAAAAAGGCCTCACTTTAAAACTCCACAAGAAAGATGATAGAATCTAAGGATGGTGTCTGACCTTTCTCCAATTGTACTCAAGAGTTAACATACGATTAGAATGCATTTCAGAAGA